TAGATCAATATACTGTATAATATACTGTTCAACAGTCTGTCTCTGCATTAGTCTGTAAGCTCCTTGAGGTCAGAGACTGTTTCTTATTTATTCATATGTTCCTGTACGTGGCACAGGTGAACATTGCCAGAGGATGTGGAAGGAAGGAATGGTAGAAGGGAAGAAGAAAGCTTCTGGTGTGAGGATCTGGCCACTATACTCAGTAGTATTTGTCTGCCTCACATGTCTTGAAACCTCCCAACTCAAGTTCTCAGTTTCCCCTCCTCTTCCTCATTCTAGGCCAAAGGGAACACTAGCTCCCTTTAGTTGCCTCCTGCTGCTTATAGCTGTGAGCACCTCATTAACCTCAGTGGTCCCCACGCTTGCCTTGAGATGTGTGGGATAAACAGAACTCAAGGCTCAGTGGTTCTGCTCAGGTGAGTCTTCCTGCCCTTCTTGTCTGGTAAAAATGGAGAGAAGGGGCCTGTGACCGTGTCTTAGTTCTCTGTTGTTGTTGTTGTTGTTGTTATGTGCCGTCGAGTCGGCCCCGACTCATAGCGACCCCTCCTTGGGTTTCCGAGGCAGTATCACTACGGAAGTAGGACTCTAGGGCTGCTATAATGGAAATACCACAAGTGGATGGCTTTACCAAACAGATACATATTCTCTCACAGTTTAGGGGGCTAGATGTCCAAATTCAGGGTGCCAGCTTTAGGGAAAGCCCTTCTCACTCTGTTGCCTCACAGTTTGGGAGAAAGGTCCTTGTCTCCTTTCAGCATCTATGGGTCCAGTATTCCTGGAAGACCTCCTTGTGTTGTGGCGTCAGCCTTCCCTGGGACTGTAGGGTTCTTAGAGAGTCTGGGCAGTGAGTGATCAGGATCTTGAAGACTGTGCAGAATTGAGTCAGGCTGTGAGTGAGTAAAAGAGGTTCTCAGTGCAGGGACTCTGGGTCTAAAGGATGTATGCTGCTCCCAGCTCTTCTTTCTTGGTGGTCCCTCTAATCGCTGCTCACTTGTTTAATCTAGTTTATATCTCAAAAGAGATTGACTCAACATACAACTTAATCCTGTAGATGCCTCTAATCCTGCCTTATTAACATCATAGAGGTTAGGATTTATAACATATAGGATAATTACATCATATCATAAAATGGTGAATAATTACAAAATACTAAAATCGTGGCTTAGCCAAGTGGACACAAAATTTGGTGGGGGGCACAATTCAATACATAAAAGCCTCCTATTCTAGCCTCATGCGGATACTGACAGAGGCTTGATCCTCAGAGCTCCAATCCTGGACGACAGACATCCTCTCAATAGCTGTGAGGTTGAGCTGGGGGTTGTTGAGAGTCACTGCTCTAGGGTACAAACTGAGGCATGGAGGAGCACTATGACTCAAGCCAGGTATGTGAGGAAAGTCTGGGCCACCACTAGGAAGAAAGACAAGTATCCAGGTATCCCACTCTGGTCCGAGGGCCAGGTGGGTCTGTGCCCCCACCTCCTTAGACTTCATTCAGTTCCCTGAGCTGTGTTCCCTCTCAGCCTACCAGAGAAGTCTTCTCTCCACAGCACAAGGGGGCTAGGGAAAACAGACTTTGTAAGAAAGATAATCTGACAACAAGCCCAGAATAGAATTAATAGAATACAGGAGCTCCGCCTTCCAGCCCACAGCCTGTGCAGGGCCACACCTGTTTCTAGACTTCAACTTTCTCTGGGAACCTGTCCTCCCAGAGCTAAAGACAGGCCCTGGGGCAGTGGCAGGTGGAGAATGGACCTCAGCCTTGAGGGGAGTGAAAGGGTTAACTCTCCTGGCATCCTTTGGGCCTGGTCTAACCAGCTCAACCCAGAGGGCTGTAAGTCCAGGCTTGTCTGTGGTGATCTCTCAATTTCAATTTCCCTCTTACTCCTCCTTCCACCTCCTTCTGGGAGACATGGGAAGGAAAAGCTGTAGGGGCTGTTGGCACCAGCTCTCTCTGGGGTGTCATTTAATACTTTCAGTAATCACCACCTCTCTGGTATATTCACTCTTTCCCTCATGGCTACTCTTGGCATGCCCCAGATATGTCTATCTCTCTGTTTGTGTCTAACTTGGTCTCTCTCTCTCTCTCTTTCAGTCACACACCCACACACATACACACACACACACACACACACAAAATGAATGGGAAAAGGGTTAGGAAAGAGATAAACAGAGCTTTCTCACTCCTCCAGTTTCTGCCCCATCACACCTCTCTCTAAAAGTGATCCCACTGGTCAACTAGGAAGCAGGAGGTAGAATAGAGAGTTAGAGGTCCAGAGGATCCCTCTGAATCACCTGAGCAATCACGTAACAGTAAGGCGAGAAAAAGAGAATAGTGAATGATTGATATGAGGAACATATGAGGATGAGGACAGGGAAGGCAAAATTAGACACCATCAAGTGATTTTAAAAAATCCTTCCCTGAACAAAACTGAGTTATTAGGTGCAGAGTGAAGACAAGAGCCCTTTGTATCATGTATGTATTTAATAAGCTAAACAGGAGAGGAGAATGGACACACTTCCCCAGTAACCAAATGAGATTATGCTTTTGAAAGTGTTTCATAAACTTCAGATTGCTCTACAAAACTAAAGAGTTGTGTCAATCTCTTCACAGGAGATAGACATACAGCCCCACTACAGGGATTCTAGCTTTATAAGATTATAATGACCACACATTCATGGGATGGAGGTATATACAAAACAGAACATTAGCCATTTCAATATTTCTTATATGCACAATTTAGTGACATTGATTACTTTCACCGTATTGTACAACCATCACTACCACTTGTTTCCAAGTTTTCCCATCACTCTTATAGAAGCTCAGTGCCCCCAAGCAATGACTCGCCCTCATGGGACACTTCTGATCTCAAGTATTCTGCACTTTTGTTAGAGGGATATCAGACAATGTGTCATGGTTTGGGGATATGGAAATATGGTCCCTTCATGTAATACTCAGCAAAGTAAATATGAACAATGTTAATTTTAGCATGTTGATTTTAGGTGCTGAATTTAGGACCCTGGTGGTACAGTAAGGAGCTCTGGTGGTGAAGGGCCTAAGGTATTTTGACTGCTAACCAGAATGTTGGTGACTCAAACCCACCAGCTGCTCCATGGAAGGAAGATGGGGCAATCTACATCCATAAAGATTTACCATCCTGCAGATGATATTTCTACATATGTACTTGTATGTGCTGAGGAATGTCCATATATATAATAGAGCTAACAAGGGACAAAGTTATGATAACTTCTTAGCCACAGCCAACCACCCTCAGAGAGTGAGTAGTTGGATTGTAGCCTTGGGACCATGATTGCAGGGGACATCAAACTCAACTGGCATAAGATACTATACATAAACATTGTTCTACGTCTGGCTTTGGTGAATAGTGGCCAGGGGTCTTAAAAGCTTGCAAGTGGCCATCTAGATACAACAATGGGTCTCTCCTCTTCCAAAGCAAAGAATGAAGAAAACCAAAGACACATGGAAACAATTAGTCCAAAGGATCATTTGAACCTCAGCCTATATGACCATGAGACCAGAAGAACTAGATGGTGCCCAGCTACCACTGTCAACCACTCAGAAAGGGATCAGTGCAGGAGATCCTGGATAGAGTGGGAGAACAAAACTCAAAATCATAAAAATGACTAGGTTTGCTGGTCTGATAGAGCCTAGGGGGGCCCCCAAGACTGTGGCCCCTAGCAACCATTCAGGTGATTGAACTCACTCCCATGGCTTCCAGCCAAACAATAGACAGGCATGTAGGGTGAACATTTACATCAGGTAGATACACTCTTTAGAAGGATCAATCATGGGAGAATACAGGGCAGTATTTACAAAGGGAGATAGCTCAGGGGGCAGAAATGCATAGGAAAGAAGAACACAGGGAAGAGGTCACTACAGGGAGGAAGTGGGAAGTGAGCTCTTACATTATGAGGAATTGCAGTCAATGTCATGGGGAAAAAAATGTATATAAATTGCTATATGGAAAATGAATTTACTCTGTAAACTTTCACCCAAATCACAATAAAAATTTTTTAAAAAATTGCCACCTCAAATGGGGGTGACTATGAGTGGGAATCCACTCAATAGCAGTGAGTTTGATTTGGGTTTTTTTGGTGCCACAGTGGGTTATGTGCTTAGCTGCTAAATAGAAAGGTCAGGGGTTCAAATCTACCAGCTGCTCCACGGGAGAAGGATGTGACAGTGTGCTTCTGTAAAGATTTACAGCCTTGGAAATCCCATGGGGGCTGTTCTACCCTGTCCTATAGGGTCACCATGAGTCAGAATCAACTCTGCTGGCAATGAGATAGGGGGAGAGGTGACCCTTGTGAGGCCTAGAGTAGACTCATTTGCCAGTGAAGTGTGCGGGTCCCTCATCTGATAGCGCTCTCCTCCCCCAAGTCTTAGATAGTGAGAGAAGTGGTGGGTCAGGCCTCAGCCTGGCATAGCACCATCCCTGGAACAAAGGCAAAGTACAGGAGCAGCCTCCCACTCCACTGCCAGGGCCAGGAAGTAGGGCCTATTGAGATAAGGGTCACACTTTGGACTCCACAGCCAAAGGGCAGCTTAAACATGGCCAGGGTTCCCGGGCCCCACGCCCCTCCTGCAGCTACCAGGTTCTAATGCCAGGTTAATGGAGGAAGATGACGCAGGAAGAGGCGGGGGATAGCCGACCACTCATTGCACCCAGAAAGGGTGGGCACCTGTCACAAATCACCTGGTCGCTACTCTCGCCCTCACCACCTCCTACTGCGGCGCCCTGCCTTGCATTTACCGCTCATTACTCCTGCGCCTCCCGGGAGTTCTGGCCAGAAGGCCAGGGCAGAAGAGTGGCGCGCGATTCAATCCCTTCCTCCAGACCCGGTGGGTGGTAAATTCAGGTGTGAAGGTAAAATAGGAAGAGAATGCTGCCAAGTGAGAGTTCCTTTCCGGGGAGGGAAGGGTGGTGGCTGTGTCCTGGGCCGGGGGCCCCTCTGCCCTCACCAGTCCCTGGGCCCCACAGGCGCCCGCAGTGCGCGGCCCGCCGGGCCAGTGTCCGCGGTGACGGGGCGGTGACAACCCACGTCCCCGCCCCTCTCTCTGTACCTTCCGCTCCCAGCCTGGCCCTGCGTTGCTGGGGTTCTGTGGGTCGCTGGGTCCCAGTCCCAAGCCGGGGAGAGGGGTTGGCACAGCAGGGGGAGCAGTCGACCAGAGCCCCGCAGGCGAGGGCCAACGGAGCGAACGGCAAGCGGATGCCGGGACACCTGCTGGCACAGGTGAGCGGGCGTGAGCCCTGGGGCGCGGGGGCGGAGCGGGAAGCTTCCGCGGCCCTGAGCACCCGGGACCGGACCGGTGCAAGGACCTGGCCTCCCCAAGGAAGGGAAGAAGAGAAGCCGAACAAAGTTGTCAAAAGACTATGGGTAGCCAAGAATGAGAGGGAGACAAGAGTTCTTGAAGGACTATGGATTGGGAGGGGACTGGAGAGACTGTGCACGATTGTTTCTCCTGCTCAATAATCAGAAAAAAAGTAAGAGGAGGGTTGTCGCACCCTCCTGGTGGAGAAACTAGCACCAGCACAGCGTCACTGAACCCACCCTCCTTTAGGCGACCTCTCCCCTCCAGGCCCTGCCTACTCCGAGGAGAGGGGTCATCTATCCAGGTTTAGGGGAAAGGAATGGAGCCTCACACCTGACGCTCAGCTCCGTGGAAGTGCTTTCCAAGTTTGTGGAAGACTAAGGGTAGCCCAAGACCAGAAACCCTGAGTCAGCCCAGCTATCAGGGGCCTGATAGCTGTCCCTACCTCACTTTCCTATCTGAGGCCAGGAAGGTTCAGCCAAGGAAATAGCAAACGTTTCTGTATAGGATCGGATAGTAAATATTTCAGACATTGTATGATCTCTGTTTCAACCAGCACAGTATCAGCCCTGGATGATATATAAATGGCCACCGACAATACGTAAATGAAGAACTGTGGCTATGTTCTAACAAAACCTTATTTACGGATACTGAACTTTAAATTTCATATGAATTTCACATACCATGAAATATTCTTCTTTTAATTTTTTCCAGCCATTTAAAAATGTAAAAAAACAATTCTCAGCTCTCAGGATGCACACAAACAGGCAGTGGGTTAAGCAGTCAGCCACCAGCCCTCTCCCCACCTGGCCTCCCTGCCACTTTTCTCCAGGGTGCCTGTGAAGGGCCAGTGCAGGGGGAATCCTCCCACCTGGGATCATCCAGAAAGCCAGGAACCTGTCTGTGATCCTTGCTCCTCGCTATTCTCAGGACTACAGCATCCTTTGAGGCTTGTATCCCCAATGTGTGCACATGTGAGACAGGAGATAAATCTCTGAGAGGCTTTCTACCCAGTATGTATCTAGGCATACCCTACCCTAGTCACGTTATAGATGAGACAGCCACACCTCCCCACACACAGTGACCAAACCCTTGGCCTTCTCCTTCCCATCCCACTTCCCTCCTCCCACCCCTTGGTCTCTAGGTGCTATCCTCGGCTTAGTGTCACCCACTGACCTAACCTTTCCATTCTTTTCTTTTCTCTCTTGCAGCCTCAGGGGACCCCTTTCTCCTGGACATTGGAGCTATGGCCCTTTGGAGGTGACCCATGAGCGAAGGGATGCAGACTTTTGGTCCTCCAGATGAGGGCCCCCTCCAAGGCCTTGTGGCCTCCCGCATCGAGACTTATGGGGGCCGGCATCGGGCCTCCGCCCAGAGCACTGCTGGCAGTCTCTGTCCCCGAGGAGATGCCGTGCCGGTGAGTCCAGGCTGCTCCCCAGGCAGTGCTTCAAAGGTGACCTGAGTAGGGCAGGAGGGACAACCCCTAGACTTTCAGGTTTCCATCCCCTCACAAGTCCATGAGCTTCTCTATTCTTGTCCCTTACCCCTGCTCTTTTTTTCTGGGTAGCAAGGGAGAGAAGGATAGTGCCTGGGTCAGACTCCCAGGACTCAGCACCCTGGTCCCAAACAGCCTGGACAGGTGAGGCAGAGAGCCAGAAGAAGCCAGGCCCATGAAGGAGGTGCTGTTAGACAGGTCTGAGGTGCAGAGCTGAGGATAAGGTCACCAAACCCCAGGATTGGCACCTCCCAGGTTCCCACCTTTACTTGGGAGGAGCCTGAGGCTACCTGAGACCTGCCGCTCTGAATGCAGGCTGGAGGCACAGGGTGCCCCTATTTTCCAAGTAGGTGGCTTGGGGCTTACCCTGGCTCCACCTCTGACACCACCTCCTGGCCCACCTCCATTTCTGAGCAAAGAAAGGTTGTGGAGGCGGAAGCTCAGGTCTTTCCTCAGCCTCCAGGCTTCCCTTGCACTGTGAGAACAGTTCGGCTTCCTGCTTGGGTATCCCCTGCCTCACTGGAGGAGGGTTGGTCCCTCAGAGACGAGGACAGCCAGGAACTCTCCCAGGCTGAGGGCGGGAGGAGAGACTAGGAAGTATGTGGGGTAATTCAGGCCACAAGCAGATGGAGGAATGTGACCAGGCCTGCCAGGGAGGGGACTCAGCTAAGGCCTTGGCTTCTCACACGGAAGAGCAGCCACTCCCAACTGGATGGGAGGCCAACTGATGCCCCAGGGGAAGAGGCTGCACATGTATGTGTTCTCATCCCCACGTGTGAGGGAGGATAGCCACTGACAGGGTAAGTAGCATGAGACTCGGATCCAGTATGCCCCATGTGCTGTCCCTGCATGTCTATGGCATAGAGAATGCACGTATGCAGGGTGAGTGCTGGTAGCATGTGTCTGCCTGTGCTCTGGCTCTGGGGGAGGCCTCTGCCTCTGCCTCCAGGCCCACTTAGAGAGCCAGGTCAACATGTTCCTGCCCAGTTCTTTTTGGCCTCGTTGGCAGCAGTGGCCATGACTCAGGGCAAGAGCAGCCATACCAAACAGGTTTGAGGGGATAGGTGAGCCAACCCAACTTGGCTACTCTCTGTCTTTTGGGGAAAGGGAGGGAACCCCATCACTCAACCTTCCTCCTCCCCCCAGGAACCTAGTCGCCGCCGCCTCCGGGCCCATGTCCCCTTCACCAAGAGCTCTGGCCAGCCCCGGGCCCTGTCTCCCATGAGGCTGCAAGAACCAGAACCTGAGAAGCAGCATGGGGGCCATTCTGGGGGTGGCCCACCTTACTCCCCCAAAGTTAAGGTAAGGGGTCCCTCTTCTCCCACCCTGTGCTCTCCCACAATCAGGCCTAGCAAACCCCAGGGGCTGAAGACAACGAGGCTGTCTTTGTCTGGAGCCCCTCTAAGAAGTAATAGATAGAGAGCTCTGCCTAGAGACCCCTTCAGGATCTATTTTATTTGGTCTATGCCACCGGACCTAGCTACTTTGACTAAGGAATGTTTTAATATAGTTTAAAGGATAAACTGTTAATATTAAATTTCCAGCTTTTCAAAATGACAAAATATTGTGAGAATCAGACATATTTACTCTATCTCCAGTCCTTACTTCATCCTTCACCCCAACTGTGAGCCTCATCCCTTCTCCTCCCTAGCCACACTGAAGATAGAGTGAGGGTCAAGAACATTTTTGTCTACATTACTTGGTATATATGTATATAGAAGTTTTGTATAAGTTAAACCACATTGCCTCAAAAAAAAAAAAAAAATGACCATATGAAAATGTTGGCTGAGATCACTGGCTCCCTAAGTCCTGCTGTGGTTGCCACCAGAAGGTCTGATCCTGCACCCCTTCCCAAGGTTCTATCTCAGGAAACTCCTGGAAGGAATGTTTTTGACCAAAGAACCCAAGTCTGGCTCCTGCAGAAAGGCTCCTTTCTGCAGGCAAAGGTGTCTCTCTGTCCATGTTCCAGCATGCCTTTTCCCCTGTCATCCCAGCTGGAGTTGATCTCTGTCCCCCAGGCCTCTGTGCCCCTACTCATACTTAGTGCTGCTTGCCACCTCCCATTGTTTCCCAGGCACATACACACACACTCAGCTCTCCCTGAGCCAACTGGGCTGGGTACCAGGGGTATGGCCAGGACTAATCCCTTTCTCAACTCCCCTAGGAGATCACCAAGGCCCATGAGCTAGAGGTGCGGCTACACACATTCAGCATGTTTGGGATACCCCGCCTGCCCCCTGAGGACCGACGGCACTGGGAGATAGGGAAGGGCAGTGACAGAGGCCTAGTCATTGAAAAGTCCTGGAAGGAACTGGTGCCTGGACACAAGGTGGGCCTGTAACATTGTCTGTTACCACATTGTTATAGACACACATACACACATTTCACCTCTGCTCTAGAAAGAGGGAAAGGCCTCAGGATGTGGGATCATGTTGAAAAGCATATGGAGACAAGTTTATCTGTGTAAGAATTTCTAGATATATAGTAGACCTGACAAGGGACAAGGTTGTAGTCACTTCTTGGCCACAGCCAGCTACCTAGAGGGAGCAAGTAGTTGGACCTGTGGACTAGAGATCATGGTCAGAGGGGGCATCAAGCTCAATTGGCATAACATACTACACAAAAACATTGTTCCACCTCCTACTTTGGCGAGTAACGACTAGGATTTTAAAAGCTTGCAGCAGCCATCTAGATGCAATGATGGGTCTCTCCTTGTCCAGAGCAAAGAAGAATGAAGAAAACCATGGAAACAATTAGTCCATGTGATCCTCCTATATGACTATGAGACCAGAAGAACTAAATGGTGCCCAGCTATCACTGTCAACCACTCAGTGGGGGATCTATGTAGGAGATCCTGGATAACGAGGGAGAACAATGTGGAACAAAACTCAAAATCATTTAAAAGAAAAAAAAAAAGAAGAAGCAGATTTGCTGGTCTGATAGAGCCTGGTGGAACCCCTGAGACTATGGCCCCTAGCTGCTTTCAGGTCTGGAATTGAACCCACTCCTGTGACTTCCAGCCAAACAAAAGACAGGTATATGAGCTGAACATTTATATTAGGTAGATACACTCCTTGGAGAGATCAATCATGGGAGAATAGAAGGGCAGTGTACACACAGGGAGACAGCTCAGGGACAGAGATGCATGGGAGGGAAGGAGATAGGGAAAAGGTAGCTATAGGGAGAAAGTGGGAGGAAAGCTGTTGCATTGTGGGAGATTACAGTCAATGTCATGAGACAGTGTATGTGAACTGCTGTATGGAAGATGAATTTGCTCTGTAAACTTTCACCCAAATCACAATAAAATTAAAAAAAAAAAAGAAGAAGAATATGGAGACAGCCATATCTAGGTTCAAATCCTTGCTCTACCTCTTACTAGTGAGACCTTGGTCAAGACAGGAACTTCCCTCTCAGTCACCTCCTCAATTAAATGGGCGTAATGTTACCTACACACTGGAGGACTAGTTTGAGGATTAAAAGATCACGTACAGTGTTTCAAAACATCTACCAGAATGCATGAAGGTCTGGTGGCATAGTGCCTAAGGCATTTGACTGCTAGCCAGAAGGCTGGCAGTTCAAATCCACCAGCCACTCCTCAGAAGGAAGGTTGGGCAATCTACTTTTGTAGAGATACCGCCTCAGAAACCCAAGGAGGGGTCACTATAAGTCGGAAATAACTCGACAGCAATGGGTTTGTTTTTGTTTTTGTTTTTGTTTTTGACCAGAATGCCTGAAGGTCTGTAGCTGCACAGTTTGTGTTCAATTGCTAACCTAAAGGTTGGCGGTTCAAATCCACTCAGTTGCACCATGTAAGAAAAGGCCAAGTGATCTGCTTCTGCTAAGATTATAACCAAGAAAACCCCATGGATCACTTCTGCTGTGACACACATGGGGTCATCAGGAGTCTGAATCAACTCGATGGCAATTGACAACTACAACCATGGTGCCCAGAACCTATTTACTAGGTCCAATAGCACTTAATAAAAGGTAACTGCTGTTGTTTTTGTCATCATTCCAATTGTTCCATCACTATCCCCATTCCAGGAGATGAGCCGGGAGCGTTGCCACCAGCAGGAAGCACTGTGGGAGCTACTGAGCACAGAGGTGATCTACATGGGAAAGCTCAAGATCCTGACAGATGTGAGCCTCATTCAAACCCAGCCCTGGCCCCATCCTCAGGCATTTATTCATCTCTCTTATATTATCCCCCATTCTCCCAAGCCAGACAGGGCAGGGTCTCTGGGAGAGGGAGGGGCAGGATGTCAAGAAAACAAAACAACAACAACAAAAAAAAAACCCTAATTTCAGACCTGCCTGGAGAGAGTTTAGCAGTACTGAAGGTGGGGGTGAGGAACGTTAAAGGGGTCAGCCAGGGGACCAAGAGAAGTGAAGTCAGACTCTGATACCCTTGCTTCTCTTCCTGTGTCTAGCTCCTAGCCAACGGTTTGCTGAACTTGCAGCGAGTGGGACTGCTGACAGAAGTGAGTAGGAGCCAGAGGGGAGCAGCCTGCCCAGCCTGAGCTCTGAGCCCAGGGAGGGGTTCTTTCAATGAGAACCCTCCAGACTGTTCAGTCTGAATTCCCACCCCCTATTTTCTGGGACAACCCCTGCTCACCCTACACCTCTTCTTGCTCTAGTCCCAAGCAGGTACTGGATGCCCCAGTACTTAGCCTACTGAAGTCACATAGGTGGAAAGGAAAACTGGAGCCCTTAGATTCTTCAGGCCCACTCTCAGACTTATGCCTCCTCGATGCCCCCTCCAGTCTCTACCACCATCACCATCCTACACCCAAATCCAAGCTTAGGGGTCCTCCCATGTCCACAGCCAGTGCTGCCTGATGATGACCCTGTTGTCGTTTGTTGTTGTTATGTGCCATCGAGTCGGCCCCGACTCATAGTGACCCCTCCTTGGGTTTCCGAGGCAGTATCTCTACGGAAGTAGTATTGCCCAACCTTCCTTCCGAGGAGTGGTTGGTGGGTTTGAACCGCCAGCCTTCTGGTTAGCAGTCAAGTGCTTTAGCCACTATGCTACCAGAGCTCCTGATGATGACCCTACTGAAGGCATATTGCTACTCCCTCCTCCAGGTGTCTGCTGAGACCCTGTTTGGAATTGTCCCCAGCCTGATTCGAGCTCACCAGAGCTTTTGGGAGGAGGTGCTGGGGCCCACCCTGGAGGAGACTCGAGCTTCAGGCCAGCCTCTGGACCCTGTCAGCCTGCAAAATGGCTTCCTAACGGTGAGGCATGGGGAAGTGCCACATCTGGATGGGGCAAGACCAGGAGACCCCAGAGAGGTCCTGTTGATAAAATTTTGACTCAAATTTTCCCATGATTTCAGGGATGCACAGGGCACAGCCCCTATCTTAAAATACCACCTCACTCCTTGCCCATCATTCTGTCAGCATGACCTCTGTCTCAAATGTCCTTGGGTTTCTGGAGACCATTATGAAATGAAAGTGCAGCTATTTTAGCGAAGGGTTACATTCAGGCTCTTATTCAACTATAAAATCTTAGTCTTGTATAGAGATTCATTAACTAACAGCTACCAGCAAGAATGAGACCTAAGTGAAATGCTTCTTAGGAGGACTGGAAACAGGAAAGGCTGCAAGGAGTACCAGGAGCATGGAGAAGAGTACAGAGAGAAACAAGAGTGCCTAAGGTCAAATTTTCCTCCACAAGTTTACCCAGTGAGGAAATTATGGGCCCTGCTGGGTTAGGATGGGGTGGAGAGATTGGGATGCAGTCTTCTGGAAGCCTTAGGCACTCCCTTCCATAGGAGCAGGGCTTCTGGACAACCCTCAGGTTGCCACACACACCCCTGCCCCAGGATGAAACTGGATCTGCAGTGGCCTGCAAACGTTCCAGCTGAATTATTGATGGTGGGAGAATGGGCAGTAAGGTCAGAGCAGCAGGGCATGGCCAGGGCTGTGGATGGAAGGAGCTCAGAAAACAGTGATGGGTCTACCTCTCGGGACCTGCTTGGAATTCAGAGACAGGGTGCTGGCTGTGAGCACAATTGTGGGAGGTAGAGATTGGCGGGAGCTGAATGGAGGGTATATATGAGGCCCTCTCTCCACCATGGTCCTATGTTCTGAGCCTGTATTTCATGACCTTCTTCTTCCTGCCTGAACACCCCCCCCCCCCTTTTCTCATCTCCCCAGTTTGGTCAGCGGTTCCAGCCCTATGTCCGGTACTGCCTACAAGTAAAGCAGACCATGGCTTATGCCCGGGAGCAGCAAGACAACAACCCTCTCTTCCAGGCCTTTGTGCAGGTAGAAGAAGGAGTACCCAGGGAAGGGAGGTAGGGTGGATTCCTGAAAATGAGGTCATCCCAGTCTGTAGCTGGGTCCACTAGAGTGGGACAGGAGGGGGCATATGGCCTCCTGACCCCTGACCCCCTCCTCTGGCAGTGGTGTGAGAAACACAAGCTCTCGGGGAGGCAGATGCTGGGCGACTTGCTCATCAAGCCTCACCAACGTGTCACCAAGTACCCACTGCTGCTCCAGGCTGTGCTCAAGAGAAGCCCTGAGGCCCGAGCACAAGAGGCCTTGAATGCCATGGTAGGTGCCTTGGTTGTGCCAGGACTCAGGAGTGGAAGGCTGGTGGGTAGGAATTGATTGGGATCTCTTGAAGGTGGTCTCTTTTCTCATGTGCGTGTGGCAGTGGGCACTGACGGGCTTAGCCTGGTTAAGGAGCTTTGGTTGGGTGAGTGGGGGGGTACAGGGTGCAGAGTTGAACTGTGCCTTCTGTGCTCCCACGCCTCACCTCTTAGATTGCAGCTGTAGAGTCGTTCCTACGACACGTCAACAGACAGGTCCGCCAGGGCGAGGAGCAGGAGAACTTGGTGGCTGTTGCCCAACGTATTGGGCCCTATGAGGTGCTGGAGCCATCCAGTGAGGAGATGGAGAAGGTAAGAGAGGGCAGAGGGCTCAGAAAAAATAAAGATGGAGTAGAGGCCTGGAATTAAGGGTGCCCAAGAGGGAGTGTGCCCATTGTTCCTCTGGGTAGTGAGGGCCCAAGGGGTAGAGTTCAAAAGAGTAAGAAGGAGGTAGAACATTTGCTCTCCCTCCAAGAAGGGAAAGAATGGAGAAAGAAGGTGCTGGTGGTGGAATGCAAGCCACCCTTGGCTGGAATTTGGGAACAAGCCCTACCCATCTCCTGATACTCTCCCCTCCGTATCCCTCAGAACCTACGTCACTTCTCCACCTTGGACCTGACCTCCCCCATGTTAGGGGTTGCTCCTGAGCACACCAGGCAACTGCTGCTGGAGGGACCCGTGCGAGTGAAGGAGGGACGAGAAGGCAAGGTGAGGGAGATGTAGGGAGCAGATGAAATGAAGAGAATGGAGGGAGGGATGATGGAACCCAGAAGGCAAAAAAGCTGGAAATGGCACAGGTGTGTGTGTGTGTGGTTCTGACTAAGCTCTGATTATTTGTATGAACCTGAGCCAGCCACTTTCCCAACCTATGAATTAAGAGTTTGAGTCAAGCTCTAGCATCCCATGGGTCATCACTTGCCCAGTGTGTGTGTGCACCCACACATACATACCCACGTATAATCCCCATCCCTGACTGGCCCCTCCCCCTGCTCTAGCTGACCCCTGTCTCTATCCCCTGCCCTCCCAGCTGGATGTGTACCTGTTCCTCTTCTCTGACGTGCTCCTGGTGACCAAGCCCCAACGCAAGGCAGACAAAGCCAAGGTCATCCGTCCCCCACTCATGCTGGAGAAGCTTGTATGCCGACCACTCCGAGACCCCAGTATGTCTTCCTTTGGAGCCTTTCCTAGAGGACTTTTCCTTCTCCCTTCTTATCAGCAAGGGAGGAAGGAGGATTTGGGATGGGCATCCATTAAGGCCCAGGCCTTGATGCAGACCATCTCCTCTACCTAGACAGCTTCCTGGTGATCAACCTCACTGAATTCCAGTGTGTGTCTAGTGCCTTCATCGTGCACTGTCCCAGTTCCACAGACCGTACCCGGTGGCTGGAGAAGACCCGGCAGGCCCAGGTATGTGAATGTGAGGTGCAGGAACGAGTGCACAGGAGCCCTAGTGCTTAGAGCAACCGTAGGGAGGAGGAGGAGGAAGAGGCTGAGGTAGTTGCAGAGTCAGACTGAACTGTCAGCTCCTCAGGCATTCCCTTAAAGGAGACACAACTTGGATGTAAGAGGATGGAAGAAAGCCTTTGGCCACTCCTGTGGTAGTCACTGGGAGAACCCAAGACATACCAAACATCCCCTAAATGTATCTCCTCCTTGAAACAATTACCTCCTAAACTTTATCTTCCATTCAACAGATATTTATGGGGACTTGCTTTGGTGGTGTAGTGCCTAAGGCACTTGACATGCTAACCAGAAGGCTGGTGGTTCAAACACACCAGCCACTTCTCTGAAGGAAGGTTTGGCAATCTACTTCCATAGTAATACTGCCTCGGAAACCCAAGGAGGGGTCGCTATGAGTCGGATCCGAATTGATGGCAGTGAGTTTGGTTTGGGTTTGGCTATGTGCAGGCACTGCTTTGGGTGCTAAAGAATTAGAAGAGAATAAACCAGCATTCTTGCCCTTGAGGAATATATGCTGCCATCTAACTAGACAAATCAGCATACAAATAATAGAAACATATACACAGAATGAAACTAGCCCAGAGAAGGGAATAATGCATTGTGTCGGAGGGGGCGGGGTTGGGGGAGGTGGTAGAGGGTGAGGTAAGTTAAGAAGTCTTCAGAGAGGAGCTGATGTCTGAGCACTATTTTGAGGGGATGTCTAGGAGTATATCAAGGGGGAAAGGGTAGGGAAGAAGAGTATTCAAAATGTTGAGGTAGAGTATAAAAAGGCCTGAAATATGAAGCAATTGCGTGTGTTGAGAAAACCACTAACACAGTGGTTAGGTACAGCCGGGACAGGAAATACACAGGTAGGCAAAGCAGGAGAGAGCCTGGGGAAGTAGGCACAAGCAGATCATGCCCATCTCTGGATGCCAGTGCTAAGGAACTTGAACTTTGTCCTATACATGGCACAGAGTCAATAAAAATGTTTATCAGGGGAGTGACGTTACCAGACTTTTGTGATAAAAGCTAGAGGAGTTCAGAAGAAGAGAGATCCAAGTCGGACAAGATGGCCAAAGAAGGGAGATTTGAGTTGGACTTTTATAAGATTTGAGTTGAGGAAGACTGTGAGCAGAAGAATCAAGGGAGCAATGGGGTCAGATTATTTTTGAGGATAGTGATTAGGTCTGTCTGGAGTCTGGAGCAAAAGTTTGTGTAAGAGAGGGATGAGAGGCCAGAACAGTGTGCACTGGGCCAGAGTGGATTAAACTGGATTGATATGAGAAACCAAAGCAAACCAAACTCACTGCCAACGAGTCAGATCCAACTCAAAGTGACCCCTCCTTGGGTTTCCAATGCAGTATCACTACAGAAGTAGATCACCCAACCTTCCTTCCGAAGGCCACCATCAATTCTTGAACAAGGGAATGACATAGTGAAATCAGTGTGTTTTTTGTTTTTTTGTGTGTGTGTTTATTTAATAAGGAAGCAGTGTGGTTTAGATAGACCAGAGGAAGGAGAGACTTGTGCAGGAGATGTATTGTACTAGCTGGGTGTAAGGGATTGAAAGTCTAGTGCCCTGGCTTTAGGGAGACATTGCCAGAAAAAAAAAAAAAAAGCTGAAGAGAAGGGAAGAGACAGGTGAGTCTTAGGGAAAACTGTGGATGAAGGCTTAGACTAAACTCAGAAAAATCTAAGTTCAGACACCACTTTTTTACCACTAGCTGTGTAACCTTGAATAAGTAGTCTCCTTGAGCTTGAACTTTTTCAGCTGCAAAATGGAGATAAATAAACCAGTAGTTGCCTCCTAAGGAAGAATCAAAGAAATCATTCAGGTTAAGCAGGCAGCATAGTGCCAGCACCCAGTAAATCCTCAGTAACTCAAGTTACTCAAGGACAAAGAGGCTGATTCGCCTCCTGAGGTTTCTACTTGAAAGACTGGATTGGTAGTGGTAACCCAGATAGAAATAAAATACAATTACATGCCACATAACATCTGTTTGGACACTGGCCAACCACATATGCATCTGGTGGTCCCATAAAGTTATAACAGAGTTCAGAAATCCTGAGTGGAGAACAGGACGTAGCAGGCGTAATAAGACGTAGGGAACACAACAGGTGCCCGCATACAGCATATGTATCTCATGTCTTGACGTCTTGTATTCAAAGAGATTGCACTGCCAATCATATAATGGTACAGTACATATATACTATATTTTTACCAAATATCAGAGGTCTGGTGTGCCCTTCCCCTCGTGGTATTTTTGTAAGCACTATGCTAAACTGTTTTACAAGTTGCTGTCAAAAAATTAGCATTGCACACTTACGAATATATGTGGGGGAGAGGAAGGGAGTAGTTGTCAAACAAGCATACACGGCCCTCTTTATTTGAGTAAAAATGTAATCTATAGTGCATATGTCTTGATAGTCATAATAAATGCCTACGTTACTGGCTTATGTATGTACTGTACTGTACTTTAGATCATAATTTTAATGTGAATTCTCTCTACCCACAAATAAAAAGTTTAGTGTATAACAGTGTATGCTTTGACTCATAGACAGCAGCATCCAGTCTCGTATATTGCGTGTCTCTTAAGTGTTGTAGTATTGTCTCTGTTTAATTTTCTTTCAAAAATATTACCATGAAGTACATCATGGCTCTCAAACGCAGCAAAACCAATACTAGTGATAGCAGCAGTAAGAGGCAAAGAAGAAGTATCAGTTTGAAAGTGAAACAAAAGGTTATTGAACATAAAGGTGGAAAATCGGTGAATATTTATTGCTCGCAACGCAGGCATGTTCACACAACGTCTAAATCACATAAAGTCCCATTTCACAGAACATATTGTGGACGTTAAGCGATGCATGACTAGAAATGAAAAGAAAGGGAAACCTGTTTGTTTAGTTGTTGCTTCCTGGGAGGGGTGAGACTACGAGTCATAATATTTAAACAGAAGCACTATGAAATTGCAGTAGTAGGAGATTGCCAAGTAGAGATATCAGAGGGGCATTTGGACATGGGGAAACATGAACCTGGAGTTCAAGTGAGAATTAAGGATGAAAGATGGAACTCAAGAGTGTGTGTCTTCCAGCACTACGAGGCTGCCACTTCCTTGGATATCTAAACAAGATGGAAGTGCTCCCCAGGAAGCCCAGCCTGATGTTTCTGAGATCTTCTGGGGCAAAGGCAGGGGACCCAAGTGGAGAGGATGTGCACAGTTAATGTGGCGAAGGTGCTCTCCCAGCTGGCCTAACCCCTGCTCCAGCCTCAGCTCACACTCCTTTCTGTCTGCTTGTCAGGGGCCTTCTCTCCACACTGCTTCTCCCTGAGCCTAAACACAGCCCTCCCTTGTGGAAACCAGCCTGGACTGACTGACAACTGCCACCATTCCAGTGGCTAATCAGGTGTTACTGAAGGCTGAGGGCAGAGAGGAGCTAGAGGACAAAACCACAAACTAGCATCAGTATTCTTTTTTGTTTTGTTTTGAACAAGGGACGTTTAATTTAGAAAATTATTGAAAGACAATAGGAGAGTTAACAATAAGATGTAAGGAGAACGCTAGTAGATTGTCCCAAGGGAAATAGCCAAGGCAGGAGACACTGGATGGACTTCAGACCTTACTGCAGAAGGTGGGGTTGCTGTCTCCTGGGTACAGAAAAGTTCTCTGGGTTGCCAGGGCCAGATCCAGGCTGCAGTTCCTGGGGAAGCATGAAGGCCCCTCTGGGCAGGTGAAATGTAGCTGACAGCATCAGTGCTATTAGAGGTCCCTGTCTCCCCAGGACACCAATGGAGATGGCCGCTGCTGGCAAGCAGCCCCAGAACTTTCTCCTCTTGCTTCAGTTCCTAGTACAATGGCACCACCACTCCTCACCTTCTCCCTCTGGAACCTCCCCCAAAAACCAAAAACAAAAACCAAACTCACTGCTGTGGAGTCATTCCAACTCATAGCAATGCTACATGTGTCAGAGTACAACTGTGCTCCACAGCATTTTCAAGGTTGTGACATTTCAGAAGCAGATCACCAGGCGTTTTTTCCAAGGCACCTCTGTGTGGGTTTGAACAGCCAAACTTTTCAGTCAGTATTCCCCTTAATAGTTTGTGCCACCTAGGAACTCCTTAGAACACCCATGGGGCCACTAAAAGTTGCTGGGGTTTATTATGCAAATTAATTTAGTCCCTACAAGTCTCACTTCTCTATTCCAGGCTAGAGGGGGAAAGGAAGTCATTTTTGATATCAAATCCAGCAGTCCACTGAAGCTTCTGGGCCTCCACTTTTAGCAAAACAAAGAACCCTAAAAATCTGGTATGTTTTCCTTACTTGTCTCTGCTAAAAGGGCAAGGTGGCCACATCTCCTGACCTCCTCTAACCCCACAAGAGGAAGACAGGATCACCATCAGTAACCCAAGGCCTATTCCTACAAGGCCAGACATGCTGCCTCCCTCCAGCCCTTACACCAACCGTTCCTCCCGCAGCACCCAAAGCCTAAATGCTGGGTTCGATAATTCACTGCAGTAGCCACACAGAACTCACAGATTATGGGGTTTACTAGGGAGGCACCAGGCTACAATTCAAGTTCAGGAACAACATTCAGTCTCTCTCCCAGCCCCCCGTCTCTCACCAACAGTCTCTCTCAGTCTCTCTCCCAGCAATGTGTGTCTCTCGGCATCTTCTTTCTCAGCAGTGCATGTTTCTCGGGGTCTCTTTCTCTCAGCAACACGTCTTCCTCAGCCAGAGGTCAGAGAGAGACTTCTGCCTCTAGGAGGCCTCCTTTTCAGCTGGGCAGAGTGGCCAAACTAACAGATCATAACATCAGAATTCTAAGCACCTGAGAGAGAGAGCGAACTTCCCAGAACATTGCTTTGTGCTGCTCACAACAGAAATACCCCAGGTGGATGATTTTTACAATCAGCAGCTCCTCAGTTGCTCACGGCAAATTTCACCTCTGAGTTTACAAAGACTTAT